TTTTTTTTTTTTTCAAATGCTAACATTCTTGAAGACTAATGGCTTGCGGCTTGAAACAGACAGGATCATCAGCAGCTAGGAATACATAACCTACACCTGGCCACTGCAACAGACCCGATTTCCAGCAGGTGCAGCTCCCCACCAATGGAATGGAGGCATCCAACAACTGGGCCTGTAGAAGGGGTGTCGGCTCTTATCAGCACCCTTCTACACCCACAATTGATGTTCTCTGAAAACAGAAAAAAAAAAAAAAAAAAAAAAAGAAGAAGAAGAAGAAGAAACATTTGCTATGGTAAAGCTAAGCACCGACTCCGCGGACAGGGGGGACAGGTTGGCAGGGCGTGTCAGGGGCCACAGTTTAATAGTTCACTCCCCACGCATATGGTCTCTCTTCTTAAACCACCAGTCCCTACTGCATTTTTAGGCCGTTACGCGGATCGGCCTACCGCGGCGGTCTGCACTCATTCGCGTCAGAGGGGGCTTAAACCACTAGTACCTTTGCCGCGTGGGAAAATAGCGGGCCTCGGTTGGTCCTCTGACTTTTTTGAAGGCTGAAACGAAGTGACGACCGCCGATCAGATTTATCAATGGCAGTCGTCATCGGGCCCGACCTCCAAATCTTTAGGAGTTTGGGAAAACTGCCACTTTTCCCTATTTTCCCAACACTGGCGAAGGTACTAGTACTGGTGGTTTGAAGTTTAAACCACCAGTCCTACTAAGTTATGACCCTCCCCTTGCAAAGTACTTGGCATCCTTCCTTCTCCCTGCCACAATATATCCTGAATCCACGTTAGCAGCTTCGGAAGAGAGGGTCTGGGCAAAAGAAAAGGGCCTCGAAATGAAAATGCAAAGGTCGGGTGGGCGAAGGGGGGGGGATGCAGGGGAGATCACAGGAGGGACAGCTTCTTTGTGGCACTTGCTCAAATCTATTTGCCATTTGCCGCACACTTCTTCTTAGTAGCAAGTTTATACTTCTTACCACATTGCAACAAATTACAGGTGGGAGGGGGGAGGGGGGAGGGGGCCCAGAAAGGAGGAGTTCTTACCAGGAAAGAAAAAGAAAGCAAACCTGAATTCCGCTGGGTGGATGGATCATGGATCATCACAAACAAAGTTCTAGATGCATTGTCACAAAAGGTGCTTAATACTGCTTAGCAAAAAAGGATACATGCAATGGCCAGTGGCCACAAGAGCGCCCGGACAAATTGATAAAATATCTCTTTGCCGCCGATATAATGTCTTTGCTACAATCATACACCTACAACTCGGAAAACGATTACAGAGTGCACAAAAATCAACCAAGCATTGCACAAATCACCCAAGCATTCTTATCCACAGAATTAGGTTGTGAATCCAAAAGTCCATTCGTCAACACTATTCCGTGCATGCATCAAACTCTGCCAACGGCAGGGAAGGCTGAAACCATGAAGAACAACCTGGGCAGAGAGAGTCGAACCATATAGAACTCCTACGCAGGCGAACACCAGTGAGGGCTGAAGCTATGAAGAACTCCTGGGCAGAGAGAGTGAAACCATATCGAACTCCGACGCAGGCCAACACCAGTGAGGGATGAAGCTATGAAGAACTCCTGGGCAGAGATAGTGAAACTACATAGAACATCGCAGCCCATAGGATGATGTCAGTAGGCAGAGAGGGTGCCACCATATAGAACACCTACGCAGGCCAACACCAGTGAAGGCTGAAGCGATGAAGAACTCCTGGGCAGAGACAGTGAAGCTAGATATATAGAACTCCGCAGCCCATAGGATGATGCCAGTAGGCACAGAGAGTGAAACCATATCGAACGCCTACGCAGGCAAAATCCAATGCAGGCTAAAGCTATGAAGAATTCCGGCGCAGAGACAGCAGTTCTGTGGATCTTCGCGGGAGCCTCCGATCCGCCGCTCGGCAAAAAAAAGATCCACACAAAAAGCTGTACTGGAACTCTGCAGCTGATAGGATGATGCCGGTAAGCGCTGGAAACCATGCAGGACTTCCACAATATGATAAAAAGCCAGAACTCAGTGTTCTGCCGCTCTTCGCCAGAAGACCTCCCAAGTGCAGGAGAACATGAATGTGCCATTCACACATTTCTATGAGAGACGACTCGGCCCCTTTCCACTTCTTCCCCTGGCCCGTCTTATGCCCTCGATAATCACTCCCTGCTCTTCCCACTAACGACCTTCTCCTCCTTTCCTGTTGCCCATCTCAGCTGCAATAGTCTATATCGCACTCTTTCCTTTGTGCTCCAACCATCCACTCCATCCCCCCCCCTCCTCTAACAACCTTCTCATACTGTCACTCTTTTCTTTGTGGTCCAGCCACCCCCTCCACCCCCACCCCCACCCCCACCACCCCCTTTCCCCCAGCTCTCCCTGTCCTCCTCGCTAGCTCACAATGCCCCCAAGAGCCTCCAGAGGTATCCTCGCCCTCAGAAAAATGCTGCATGTCCATTCTCCAAGCTGTGACTTCCCTCTCTCCTCATTGTTGGCCCAACGTATCTACCAGTTCCGTCTGCTGCACCCTGCATTATTCTGTCCCCCTAGCCTTTGGCCTTTTGGTTTTCCTCCTGCTTGTTTGAACCTAGCCCGGATTCTCTCCTAGCCATGGCTCCCATGCCTGTCCATCCATAGCTAAGCCTGGCTAGTTCCCTGAAACCAACTGCTCCCTTTCATCCTCTGCTCCGACATATAACTCAGCCTAGCTTCCTACCATCCTCAACACAGCCGCTTCAAACCAACCAACTCCCAGTCGGGCAGTGCCCCTCCCCTTTTCCCTGTCTTCACATCCTCCTGATTCTTACCCTACAAAAGGTTCACGCTCCCATACCGTTACGCTCCCTGGAGGTTGGTGGCTTCCCCTTGCCCCTACGGCCAGCCGCCTTCTGGGAAAGAAGCGCATCCCTGCCCATGGCTCCCACCGTAGGGCGCGGCGTGTCGCACGCTGCTACTTGTCGCCTGCCACCGGTGGTCACCTGCTTGCCGCCTGCTGATTGATGTTGCCTGCCTCCTCGAAGCTGGCGCTTGCATGTGTTGCCCCAACTAGGAAGTGCAAAGCACAATCGTTGTCGCTCTTCCAGTCCACTGTTGTTCCGCGCAAGACATGAGGACCTGCTTGTGCTGCAGGGTCTCCAGTCTGGCGATGGCCGCAACCTCAGTCGTCAATACTGCTGCTTGTATTTACAGCTCTCACGCTATCAGAGAGAGCTTGCTGAAATTGAACAACTTAAACTTTTTTGATTACTTTCACAATATCATCCATCATGCGTAAAGCGCATGACGATGAACGAGCAATTACCGTCTAATTTCTGAGCCCACTTTTCTGCTGCACTGGTATCACCATGGAATGGCCAGCTCGCTAACAACACAACAAAGACTTCAACAGTTCAGTTCGTTCAAGCCTTCACTCATTTTACCTCCCTTGCAGCCATAATGGCTGCTGCTGTGGCCGCTTCCGTCCTGCTTCTCGCCTTTCTTTCTTTCTTATGCTTGTCGACTTTCGTTCTTTTTTTTTTTTTTTTTTTTAACTGTGCCCATTGACGCTGCACGTCTCTCTACCCTCTTCCCTCTTGCATGTCTTTTCCGCACTAACGAATCGTACTGCCAACTTGTGCCAAGTGCATTTCTTACCACTCCCGTCTCTCTCCATGGGAGCATTCAGAGCGAAAACGACCTACAGGAATGAAAGTTTATTTTCGGAACCTTCATCTCGTACCCACTGTGCCTACATTGAGGAGGTTCGTTCGACAAAATAAATCAGAGACCCTGAGGGGTTATTGCACGCATTCGATCAGCCAGCCTATGCGCCTCAGGTACAAAATCCTTTACTAACTTTTTTTAATTTTAGTTTTCAATCCCTCCCCCCCCCTTTTTCAAACTGAGCTTCCTCAGTGACTCCTTCAGCGCCGTCATAAAAAAAGAGTCGACTTCTCCTGTCACCCTTGTTCGCAAAATGCCCATGCGCACGCCAATGATCATCAGATCGAATCCTTGAGACTGTGCTAGTTCTCCAGTGTTGTTGCAAACAATGCCAAGTATAATGCACCAAATATGCAGAATGGAACTTGTAGTAAGGGGGCCTGACCGATGCGACCGTAAAGTAAATGCCCTTCTCCGTGCCGCTCTTCCTTCGCGTTCTCTCTTCTCGAACTTCTCAAGACATGTGTTGCCGCAATCCTCAAAGCTCAACCTACACTTGTCGGGAACCCTGCACTCCAGCAGGCTCCTCACCGCCTAAATACCATAGATACCATACCAGAGAATGGGAAGCTCTGCAAACAATTGTGCATGTACCGTCATCCTTCCGTTCTGCCGCCGCCACGATGATGTCTCTATTACCTCCAGCTGATGTACTCAATCTAGCGACAGATCTACCGTTCCCAGCATACTGGTTCTCAGGTCCCCGGAACTTCCCGGGACCTCGTTCGATTGGCCAACCTGTTGCCGGCGCCATGATGTTTCCATTACCCTGCGGCTGCCATACGCGATCTTGGTGCAAAGTGACGGAGCTACCATACCCCAGCACACTGGTCCTATGAGTCTGGGTGCTTACCGCGTGGGACGCTGTTCAGTTAGCTAAGGGTTACGCTGTTCCAACTCCTCCAGAAAGTGCCAGAACTAACTTCCCCCTCGCTCCCTTTTCTACAGAGGTACGTGACAACCAAGTGCTGCGTCGACATCCGCAAACAACCAAGTGCTGCGAACCTCTCTTCAGGTGGAACCAAACTACAAGTTGAGTTGACCAAGTTCATTGGCGGGCATCCGTCACAACCAACTTCTCAGAGCGGAGCGGTCGTACACCTCAACCTGGAAAAGCTCGTGTTTCTACGGAGGCGAAGCAAAAAAGCATGCGAACAATCACAGTCGACGAGGCTCCCCTGTGTCTATTTATTACTTGCTTGAAGGCCAAAACAACCCCCGCCGCACGTTGAGCTTTTCATTAATCATATACACCACGCGGGATTACACCAAAAGTTGGCGCGATCCGCAGTTACGGGGGAAGCTCCACAAGTTCGACGGCGGTTTTCGTAAACACGGAAAGTCGGAACGAAGTTTCCTCACCGGGTATGTGGGTCGTTGGGACGATCGTGTACCCGCGAGGATCCGGTTCCAACACCATCTCACAGGCCACCTCTCTTGTGTTTACATACTCGCTTGCTCCTGCAAGATTATGTACATACAATATGGGATCAACCCTTTCACCGCCTTTCTTCACAACCCTTAGGCCAATAAAAAAGGGTGGATGCCCACAGAGATTCTGTGCCAGTGTCATGAACACATTGATTGGTCTGTGTGCATCGACGCCGACCCCACGAAGGAGGAACTGCGGATTGTTATGCCATGTGTCGAAGTTTGGACAGCCACCGGCGGTGTGACCACGCCATTGCCCATGCACTACTTTTCGCATCTCAGGTGGATAGAGCCGGCAAACGTATACAGACCTGAAGTGCACCTGAAAATCTTCCCATGACATCCAGAAGACCCCGTCCGAAAGCTGCACACCAAATAGACCAGTAGAATTAACATTAGAAAGACTATTTCGAGCATCCAAGTGCTGCAACGGCATCCGCAAGCAACAACTAAGTTCCCCCTCGCTCCCTTTTCTTTCCCTCTTCTTCTGTCTTTCTGTCACTGGACTCTCTGTGGCAGTCACTGTCTGAAGCAACATCCTTTTTTTTTTTTTTTTTTTTTGGTCTGAAGCAACATCAAACTCCCCCTTCCCCACCTTTATCACCATCTGAAAGCTGCTGCACAATGAACAAACCCATAAAGTGAAAACTGCGACGACTGCTGGCTTTTTCCCTGTGAACCCAGGAGTTGCATCTTGTGAACATAATCACAAGATGTAAAGAAAGGAATGACCTGTGTTCCCACACATATATAACCATAACGGCTAAAACGGAAGTCATGCTTAAAAAAAAAAAAAAAAAAAAAAAAAAAAAAAAAAAAAAAAAAAAAAAAAAAAAAAAAAAAAACACCATCGTTGCAAGCCTACGGGCTTTACTTTTCTCTGTCTCGAGTACATGATTAATTTATTAGTATTTATTACAAAAAAGTGGCCCGAAAATAAGAAACAAAAAATTAATAAAAGAGACACAACTTCACATAAGGTAAACTTAATAAATTATACATTGCGACAACTTCTGGCATCATCAAACGGGACGGGTACGAAGCAACGTTGAGGTCTCCACTCCCTACCTTTCTGATGTCCTTGTTTCCCTCCTTTCTGTTCCTCTCACTGGGTTACCCGTGGCCATCAGCTCCAAAGCAATGCCATCGTCTTCCTTCCGTTCCTTGCTCCCTCAATCTTTTTCCCTCTTTTCCTTTGTGTTTCTGTCACTAGACTTTCCGCTCCTTTGTGTTTCCCTCCTTTCTGTTCCTGTCACCAGGCTCTCCGTTGTTTGTGTCCACCTTTAGACGATGTCCACCATGAAGGCCTAGCGTTTTTCGTCTACCGGCTTGTACTTCTGTGCACTTCCTTCCGAGATCTTCCCTCTGAAAAATGAACGGCTGGAGCAGGGAATGCTTGAGCTGGCAGCTTTGGCTCTCACCTTCCCTCTCCACGCGCCTCCTGCCAATATCTTCTCTTGGGTCTTTCGTCTCTTCCTTCTGCTTCATCTCTACTCCCTCCTCCCAGTCTCTTCCCTCTGTTCCCTCTTGTGTCTTTCGTCTCTTCCTTCTGCTTCATCTCTGCTCCCTCCTCCCAGTCTCTACGCGCCTCCTGCCAATATCTTCTCTTGTTTCTTTCGTCTCTTCCTTCTGCTTCATCTCTACTCCCTCCTCCCGGTCCCTTCCCTCTGTTCCCTCTCTCCCCTTCCTTTCCTCCCACCCCTCCCTTCCCTTCTCTTCCACACCGTCCCCTTATGCCCCCTGCCATTCATTCCCTTCTTTACATCTTGGAAGTATGCGCCACCGTAAAATCTAAAGAAGACTGAAAAATAAATATAATTCCGGCCATGCGGCCGGGATAGCCAAGAGAAACACACGGCCTACCATAATAGGTAACGACAACCGGTACCTCTGTCCTTACTCGTATGCCGTGAGTAGGGTTGAGGCTTCAGCTACTGGGCTCTGTTGTTCCCTACCTTCTTCACCCTAATAGACCGTACTGTCATTTTCGCTGCATCTGGACTGAAAGTTGTCCGAAATACAGGCACAATGACCGTACGTTTTATTCCGGGGAAGATGGTAGCAAGTATGCTGACTATCAAGCCGAGCCGACTGTTTTACCTGTGTAAGACGACAAGCTTGCCGTGTTTATCATTCCGACTCCGATTGCTGAGTGTCCAAACAAAAAGACTAAGGTCCACTTAATGTGGTTGATATGTCTCGTACAGCAATAGATACAGCTCCCTATTCCCATTTGGCAATTTGCATTTGCACCCCTGCTTTCTTAACAAAACTGAAAATGCAAGCCTCCTGATATATATAGCAGGAGACAGGACATTATTAAAGTCTTCTTAAAGAGGAAAAAATAGATCGGCCACGTACCTTTGGAGTGTACTTGAGCTTATATTTCATCCGCTCCGTCCATTCTGGTGACGAGTCAGACCAGGGACCTGACCATTCAACTGAATTGCCCCAGGGATTACGCATTTGGAGCAACTTGTGTCCATCAACCTCTCTGACCTGTTGCCCATGTGAGCAGAGTACAACAAAAGAAAACATCAGACCTCATCAATCTTACCAATTCAACGACGAACCCTAATACTTAAACCACTAGTACCTTTGCCGCTTGGGAAAATAGCGGGTCTCGGGTAGGCGTCCGACCTTTTCAGAGGCCGAAACGAAATGACGGCCGCCGATCAGATTTATCAATGGCAGTCGTCGTCGGGCCCGACCTCCGAAAATTCAGGAGTTTTTTTCCCACGCGGGAAAGGTACTAGTGACCCACAGGCCCCAAACTGCTGACAGAGACCCCGCAAACCCACCCACCTCGCACCTCCCCACACTACTCCTTACAAAAACACCAACTCCCACCACGATGCTGTTTTCACCAACCAGGGGATTACCCTACCTCCCGCGCGGCAGGGGCTAAAAAGCCCCGCGAAACCCACCCACCTCCTCGCGATTTAGCGTAAGCCTCTCCCTCAATCTACATACACCCCCTACGGATGCTTCGCCTCGCTCCATGACGAAGCCCCTGTTGCCTGAGCATTACATCCAAATTCCTTACCAAATTTGAAAAAAAAAAAAAAGGAAAATAAATACTGAGAAGAAAAATAAGAAAAAATAAAAAGAGAAATTGGTACATTACTAATTAGAGAATTTTAATTAATGAGTGCGCAAGCCCGTTTTCGACACTGCGATCTTTGGCGATTTTTCAAATGTTTTTGGCATAGCCAAATGCCCTGCAACTTTACATATGTGTACTTCACATAGTACAAAACTCATGCAAAAAGTTTCAAAAAATAATAAAATATTTAAGGCGCAAAAATAAAATCACAACCAACAGTGAAAAGTGAAAAAAAAAAAAAAAAACCTGAGTAGCCAAGCACGTTTTAACACCGCCATCTTTGACGATTTTTCATTTTTTTTTGGGCTCGACAAAATGCCTTGAAAATTTATATGCGTGTAGCGCATGTCCTAAAGAAGTTACAAAAAAACTTTCAACAAAAACAAATCATTTTTAGGCCCCGAAATCATTTTTGGCGGGGCCTGAACCCCTTCAGGTTCAGCCCCCAAACGGGACACCGAACGGCCGAACGTTCGGGGGTCAGCCAGAGGGCCCCTGAACTTTCGGCCTGGTAACCATTTATATATATATATATATATATTCTGTTTGTGACGATATATATATATATATTATATATATCGTCACAAATAGAACTGCCCGGTAAACCGTAGGCAGAGAGAGAGAAGAGGACAACAAACGAGGGGCTGTGACAAACTGTTTCGTCGGAGTTTCACCGACTATATATATTATATATGCCCTGCCAACAACTACCGTCTTCACCAGAATAGAACATCATACAGTAATTATGCCTGCATTCGGGCCAACTTCAGTCTAGATACAGCGATAATGACCATACGTTCTATTCGGGGCAAGAGGGTAGTGTGTCCGCGAGGTACAGGTTATATATAGATGCCCTGCCAACAGGCCTGTTTACTCTCAGCTACAGCCTATTTCACCATGCGAACAGATGAAAACTGGGCCCATTAATTGTCAGTGCTTCACTCCCGACTCCACCTTCTGACTCCCACTCTCTTCAAGCAACGACAACAGAAACCTCGAAAGTGGTGAGAACTACTCTACAACATCAGCCCCTTGATTTATGACCTCTCAAGGTGCCGAGGATCGATCACCACCAATAAATTGTGCAGAGGATACACCACCAATAAATGGCCAAAAAAAACGCCGTAATGGCAGCTCATGGAGAACCTCACCTGCAAAAGAGAGTAAGCATGTGACTGAACGATTCCATTTGGCGATATCTCAGTATCGCTGCCTGACGGACTGCCGACTCCGAGAAGGAAGCCCTCTTCCTTAAACCTCATTAACTGCGACCAGAGGCGACCACTAGCAATCTCCAGTTGTTTGTCCTGGTTCCTCATGTCAATCTCCTCGCCAGCGCCACCGGTCAGATCAACTAATGCATCTTGAACCACACCTCCTTCCAATGCCTCGTACGATCCATGAAGTTTCGCATATGCTTTCTCCAACAGTGTCAGCCATAGCTCATCTTCCTTCTTGCTCATTGCAAATGCCGGCTTTCGCTTTGCATTCAACGGAATCCAGTCGTCGACAATCACAGGCTGCCATTCGCCCTGAAACCACGAAACAAAAGACAGCCATTTCGTCGATTCAGGATGATCATCGCCACACACACACACACAAACAAAAAAACCAACTGGCCTATCTCAGTTGCTACAGTGTTGAGCTCTTTGAAATACAGCCTTGAGTTCGAGGTTCGAACTCCAGATGAGTAAAATACTTCAATTCTGAATTACCTAGGACCGGTCAGTTCGATGACGATGATATCTCAATGCTGTCGCCTTTTTTCTTTTCTTTTCTTTTCTTTTAACAAAATGAAAGCCTCGTTGAGTAACTTTGAAATCGGATAAGGTAAGGTGAGATAGTTTCCAGCATCTTCCTTCCTTTCTTGCCTTGTCTTTTCCTTCCCTCCCCCCTTAATCGGACAGCCCCATATGCTACCCTGACAGAGCCCCATACGCTACCCTGGGAGTTGAGATGATGCAGGGCAGGTTCGTAATACTTCTTAATAGTTCTTATGAGTAATAGCTTGAGGTGTTCACCTCCAGCTAGCGAGGTTGAAACTTCGGAGCCCTCTCATCTTCTTCTGTAGTCCTTTCGTTACTTCTTCGTCTCTTTTTTCTCCTCGTCGATATATATTGAAGTGAGTTGTCCTTTTCTTACGTGTTTCTCTCTTTCACGCACCTTATTCGTCTTTTCCAGACTTTTTCGTTTCTTCTTCTGTCTCTTTCTCCTCCTCAATATATTGATGAAGTGAGTTGTCCTTTTCTTACGCGTTTTTTTTCTCTTTCATCCACCTTATTCGTCTTTCTCAGACTTTCAGCCTCATCTCGTATAAGCGCCTGTAGGCAATACCTTTGTCAAGTTTTTCAAACTTTTTTCTCAATTTATGTGCGTCATCTTTGCGCAGGGGCCATGTTAAACTTCTCCGTATCATTCCAATTTTATCGGATGTCGCAAAGGACAACTTATTTGGAACTTTGAAGTGTGCATCGCACTGTAACCAAAATAGCTCAAGGTGCGCCTCCCTTTCTCATCGTTAGCCAGACCCCCACTGGCGGCCCCAACCCTATACCCTAAACATTAGGGGCAAGGGGCAACATGAAATCTCCCCTTCACAGTGAGAGGAAACTATGCTTGCAGGGGTCCCCTCTAGATAGCCTTAGGAGTAGGTAGTGAAAGGCAAAAACAGAAGTTGAGAGAAGAATCTAGAAAAAAAAAAAAAAAAAAAAAAGCTCAAGGTGTGCACCTCATTTTGAAGTTACTGTGTCTTTTTGTTATACTCCTTTGTCTGTTCCGCCTGAACAACATACTCATCATCTCAACTCTCAGGGTAGCGTACTCCCTCCGAATTTTGATTGATGGTGAGACTCTCTCAATCTGCTCAACAGGCACACAAGTGCTCTATAGTCTTTCAACTGTAGTTTTCATAACTTTGTATTTCCTCGCTCTTTTGCTCTCATCACACAACAATGCGAATATGCTCGGAAGACTCGGTGAAGAGTCTAAAATAGTTGCGAGCAAGATACGGACAGATTCCATAGGTCACAATTTGATCCCGCCGTGTACAACTGGTTAACAGGGACACCGACCGACTTTCAGCTCCTGGCCAACGGGCGGCGAAAACTGAAATTAGAGATTAGGGGTCACCTGCTGAAAATTGGGCAAACCCATGCAGAGAGAAGAAACGAAAACTTGTCACAACAACCATGCCCGAGAAAGGCTGGGCCTCGTGATTACCAGGGCAATTTACTATACTCTCTTTGATCTTACTTCCACCTTTCTTTTGTATTTGCTTTCTCGTCCAGCCTAAACTTATCCGAAAAAACCGGCAGCTTATGAATGCGGTTTTGAGGGCGGCCGTAAGGTCACCTATAGTTATCGAAGTCTGTGACCGAACTTCACACTAGGGGCATATGGGTTACCTTCAGCTGCAACAGTAGAGGAAATGAAGCATGCCATAAAAGCATACTCATAGAAATTTGAAGAGCAGACGCTTCCTGTCCACACTCCTTGTCCAACAGTTCGCCTGAGATGTCCAAATTGCTGCACTTGGCACGTGGAGTTGTGACGGAAGCCCACTGGCGCTTATACGAGATGAGGCTTTACATTCTTTCATCTCCATACGTCAGTCGTTTCCTTCACGAGTTCCTTCTCCAACACCCCMCCCCCCCAAAAAAAAAACAGACACTCAACCCCCCGCCCCCAATGTGCTGTCGTGATACTATTATTATTATTACTAATAACAAGTGGACCTGCCGCGACGCTGCGGCGAAGGACAATGACAAAAACATTTTGCGAAACACCGCACCCATCAGTTGGATACCATCTTTGCAATGTACCCCTACCGGAAGCTGCCCAACTTTGCAAAATGGGCTGGCAGTTGCCAACTTGTCGTAGGTGCAATTGCAGAAGGCCAAGCGAATTTGCACACCCGCCTGACAGGGGCATAAGACAAACATGCCAGTCGAAAAGGCCATTCCACTGTGTCCATATCTTTTACGGGCATTGACATATATCTGTGAGGATTGAGCCCTCAAGTAGGGGCCTTGCCATGATGTACATGTTCTGGGCTAAGGCCCCAGCAAGCCTCGTGCCCCGCCCTAAGTGAAGGCGGGCCAGCAAATCAACAAGAGCCCTCTGTGCCAACATTTCACGAAGTGGGGTCCATACAGTTGCAGCACGCCAGTTGGTTGGAGTGCACCGAGTCTCGGATTTCAGCAAATGCTGAAATGCCCAGGGCCTCTGAGTTAGTTAGGCCCTGGGCACTCGAATGTGAGGCCGACAATGCATGCTGGGTATAGAGGCCGAAAATGCCGAAGGGAAATCGGCCCACTGTCTGAATCTGGCCGCAGGCCCTGATGAAAGAGGCGCAACTGCATAGCTCCGGGGCCCAACTGTATCGGGCTAAGTTCAGCCTCTGGGTTCCGGTCACAGGCTGAAGGGAGGCCTCCCACACGCTGCACTGGCATATAGGCAAGCAGGACGAGTGGGCAAGTATCTTGGCCATTGCGGGCAATGCCGGCACGCTGCGCAAATGCGAGCTGCTGCTGCTGCTGCGCTGCGCTAAGAAAGGTGCAAGGCAGGCCAGCGCTAGGCGGTAGGGCGCTGCCTGTGCACCAGGGCACTGGCGGCCATAGCCGGGCCGCATGAGGGTGCAGTGAGGGTGAAGGGCGAAGGTGGTCTTCGGAGGTGAAGGGCGCTGTGTGGGTACAAGGGAGAGTGTGGGTGAAGAGGACACGTACCTGGTGGAGGTGGAGGTCGGCATTGGTGTTGACATCATCACTCGCTGGTAGTCAAGTTGTCTGGTTGCTTTCATTTCTGTAGTTGTAGGCTAGGCTGTAGAAGTAGATAGGGCGCCTGGCGCCATTCACAAGAGAGAGCTACATTTGGGTTATGCTGTTGGTGTTGCCCTGTTGGGCATGGACATTGACTCACGATTCTTCTGTATCATTCTCAATTGGATGGTTACTCGGTTCCATTGTGCTATCTGCTTTGGCTTGGGCTACTTGGACTTCAGTGTGATTTTGCATTCTGGATTTCTGTGCTTCGTCCATATTCATGTTCCTTGCATATCTCAACTTATGCAGGTATTTGGCAAATTACCACTTCCGCCCCAAAGGGAGAGTCTCTCTCTCTCTCTCTC